GACCCATCTTCTGGGCAGGCAGTCAGGGCGAGTAGGGACAAGGGTCTGAGCCTGGGGAGACCCGTGTTGCCCTGGGTTCCTTGCCTGGGAGCTGATCCCAGAGCCAGTCCAGACCCAGTGTCAGCCGGAGCCCAGAGGGGCCAGGCAGGCCGAGCATAGGCGAGTTTGCTCCCTCGGCTTTGCCAGCTGGGCACCGGCCCTGGCACTCCCCACGCAGACTAACACGGGAGGAAGTTAGGCTCTCCGGTCTTTACCCCACGCAGGGATCCCATCCCCGGACTGTGGGTTCCTGAAATCCTCGGGAACAGAGACCTCATTACCTAGCAAGGAATCCCTGCTCTGGCCGTGCAGCACTGATAATAATAAAAGTCACCACTTTTGGGGGCTGGGGATTTAGCTCAGTGGCACATTGCCTGCTTGGCAAGCGCAAGGTCGTGAGTTTGATTCCCGGTACTGGAAAAAAAAAAACACCAAAACTAAAAGTCACCACTTTTTCTAGCTTCTCCCAGAAGGCACTGTGTCAAGCACTTGCATGCTACATAAGACGGACACCATCACCACCACCCCACTTTGCAGTCCAGATAACTGAGGCTCAGAGCCTTCGAGACCCTCCAAAACCACATGATAGGTTTGAGGGCTGAAATGCAGTGTGGCCTCTTGGTAGGAATGAGCACACCCAGCACTCAGGGATATTTGGTTTCTCAACACCTGTGTCCAAGATGAAAGGAACCACACTCTGGAGAAACGGCTGAGTCCAGCTCGGGGGCAAAGTAAGTGCCTGGAGCATCCTGGAGCGCCCCAAACCAAGGAAACCAAGTTCCAAAGGACAGGGCAGCTGGGTGTGGTGGCACAGGCCTGAAATCCCAGCCTCTCCTGGGAGCCCTCTTCTGCCACTGGGAGGCTGAGACAGGAGAATCACAAGTTCAAGCCCAGCTCAAGCAACTTAGCAAGGTTCTGTTTCTTTTTTTTTTTTTTTTTTGGTTTTTCTCGGTACTGGGAACCGAACTCACGACCTTGCACTTGCCAGGCAGGCGCTTTGCCGCTGAGCTAAATCCCCAACCCCACAAGGTTCTGTTTCTAAATGAAAACATTTTATTTTATTTTTATTTTTTGGTACTGGGGATCGAACTCAGGACCTTGGGCTTGCCCTTGTGCCGCTGAGCTATATCCCCAGTCCAAAAACATTTTTAAAAGGCTAGGGGTGTAGCTGTGCATAGGGCCTGGGTTCAGTCCTCTGCCAAAAAAAAAAAGTCATGGCAGACAAAGGCACCAACCGGAGGAAAGCTGGAGGAGTCTGAACAATGACATAAACACCACAGAACCAATTACAACCCAAAGTATAGAATCCAGGGCCAGAAATATAGCTCAACAGCACAAGCGCCTGCCTGGCAAGCAGAAGATCCTGAGTTCGATTCCTGGTACCAAAAAAAAATAGAATCCATAGACTCAGGAGTCCAGATGTAACTGACTTACAGATGAATTCCAATTATAAGACGCCTCCAGGAGGTGGCGTGGTCCCATCCCTCACTCTAGGATGGGATCCATTTGCTTCCAAAACAGAGGGTGCAGAGGGGGAAAGAGTAACTTCACAGGGGAAAAACCAGCCGACACGACACAGGACAACACAGCAGGGGTGGAGCTCAGCGGCAGAGTGCTCGGTGAGCATATGTGAGGCCCCCTCCAAAAAAATCTGTTTTAATCAGCTACTCAGGAGGCTGAGGCAGAGGAATCGTGGGTCTGAGACCAGTCTGGGCTAGTGAGTCCTGTCTCCAAAAACAAGAGAGAGAAACCACCAGCAGCAGCTCACGTGAACCTCAGGTGCGCACAGCATCACGTGATGAGGAAACGTTATTTACCTCTGTGGTTTTCTTCCCCGAAGCCCCACGGTCCTGTCTAGTCATGAGGAAAACATCGGATACACCCAAATTGAGGGACAGCCTATGGAACACTGACCAGCATGTATCAAAATTGTCTAGGTCATGAAAAACACGGGAAGACTGCGAGTCTCGCAGACCAGAGAAGACTAAGACATGGCAACTCCAGGAGGATGGGATTCCAGACTTAGTCCCAGAACAGAAAGGAGCACTTGTGGTCAGGAGTGGTGGTGCACACCTGTAATCTCTCAGGAGGCTGAGGCAGGAGGATCACTGCAAGTTCAGGTCAGCGTGGGCTACAAAGTGAGTTCAAGGCCAGCCTGAGCTAACAGCAAGACCCTGTCTCAAAAAAATAACAAAAAAGAAAAAAGCAAGGAGAAAGAGGAAGAAAGAAAGAAAGAAAAGAGAGAAAGAAGAAAGGAAGGAAGGAAGGAAGGAAGGAAGGAAGGAAGGAAGGAAGGAAGGAAAGAAGGTAGAAAGAAAGAAAGAAAGAAAGAAAGAAAGAAAGAAAGAAAGAAAGAAAGAAAGAAAAAAGGAAAGAGTATATCTAAAATGTACTAATAGCTGGGCATGGTGGCTCATGTCTGTAATCCCAGCACTTGGGAGGCTGAGGCAGGAGGATCACTGTGAGTTCAAGACCAGCCTAGGGTACAAAGTGAGCTCAAGGCCAGCCTGAACTGCATAGTGAGACCCTGTCTCAAAAAGACAAAAAAAAAAAAAAAAAAGAAAAAGAAACCCTCATAATGCCTGAATGTCAGTTCCTGGTCCCGCGGCGTCCTTCATGACAGGTGTGTCCCTGTCATGTAAAACATTGAAGGGGGGCACTATAAGAGGGGTGTACAGAACTCCCTGCCACACCTCTGTAGTTTTCCTATTAATCTAAAATTATTCAAAGATAAAAAGTGGGGGCCAGGGAGATAGCTCAGGGACACAGCACCTGCTTGTCAAGGGTAAGGTCCTGAGTTTGATTCCCAGTACCTAAATAAATGAATATATAAGAGTGGAGCTGGCTGGGCGTGGTGGCGCACGCCTGTAATCCCAGCACTCAGGAGGCTGAGGCAGGAGGGTTGTTGTGAGTTCAAGACCAGCTGGGGCTACAAAGTGAGCTCAAGGCCAGCCTGAACTGCATAGCGAGACCCTGTCTTAAAAAGACAAAAAAAAAAGTGGGGCTGGACCGGAGCTCAGAGGTGCAGCATTCGCCCAATGTGGCTGAGGTCCTCGGTTTGTGCTGGGGTACTGCAAGAGTCATTTCCAGACTCCTCCGCTGACCAGGGTCTTCACCCCTGCCCACTGTGCTCTCAGGACGCTGGACTCCCCTGTTCTCTTCACCCCACCTCCTCCTGCGCAGGCTGCAGGAGGCTCCCGGCCCCTCTCCCACGTATCCACAGCTCTGAGCTCCATGTCCTTCCACTGTCTTGTGGGACTTGGATGTCAAGGGCCATTTGCCTCCTTTGCATCCAGCTTTGCCTCCCAGAAGCTGCTGCTTCTCCTTGGGCACCCATGGGATCCCAAATTGATCGAATCAGACAGAATCCCAGGCCTCTGACTGAGAACACTGACACTCTCTCCCATGGCGGGTATGGATGAAGAGCCCTTAGATTAGGAGGAGGCTAACACCAAGGGCCAGAGTGAGGAAAGAACTGGGTTTCAGGGACATCAGTGAGCCACTGGATCAAGCCTTGCCTGAAGCCTACATTGCCTTGTCACTTACAAGACCTGTGGTAGGGTGAAAATTGGCCCTCCAACATGTATTTACGCCCTGATCATTGGGACCTGTAATGCTATATGATTTTTTTTACTTTCATTTGCATTTATTTTGTGCCTCATTTATTCCAGTGCTGTGTTTGTTTCTTCAGGAATATCTTTTACTTCTGTGCAACTTCCTCCTCTGGTTTAGGAACAATTTGTTCCTTTTCAGTAAGGGTCATCTCAAAGTGGGAGGGGGAGCTCATGTACGGGTTAATCTGGCCATGAGCTGTGTAATGCCATGGTGCATCTTGGGTGCTTTGTTCACCTGGATATGTTCAATGACCCGAAAATCTACATCTAAACCCTTAAGTTCAGCATTACTCTCTGCATTTTCAAGTACGTGCAGCAAAAATTCAGCACTCTTTTTGGGCCAATGACCCTGTGTCCAGCCTCACTGTTTGGCCTGGGCACACCTGCCAACTCCTCCATTGTAATACCAGAATGGTACACATTGCTTCTTTAATGTGACATCCTTCAGATGTGTGGTGGCCTTTAGGATATGCTGATTCTTGATGGCCTGGGCAGTTTCACAGGCATTCTTAAAGTGAACACGAGGATTTGAGCCTCTTTAATTTGCATGATTTTGTAGGGTTTTCTGGGTCAAGAGAGCGATGAACCACTTCCACAGGTTACCTCAGGCCCCTTACAGGAAGAGTGCTACATGATTTTTTAAAAAGCAAGTTAGGGGCCAGGGGTATAGCTCAGCAGCACAGTGCCTGCTTGGCAAGTGTGAGGTCCTGAGTTTGATTCCTGATACCAAAAAAAACAACTTAGGGATGTCTTTCTTTTGTTTGTTTTGAGACAGGGTTTTACTATGTAGTTCAAGTTGGCCTTAAACCCACTCTGTAGTGCAGGATGGCCTCAAACTCAAAATCCTCCTGCCTCAGCCTCCCCAGTGATGGGATTACAAGCATATGCCATTATACCCAACTTGGGGTGTCTTTAAAAATGTCATTTAATATAATCACATGCTTAAAAAGGAGAGGTAGGGGGAGATTTGATAGACGCACAAGGGCTGGGGATATAGCTTAGCGGCACAAGCACCTGCCTGGCAAGTGCAAGGTCCTGAGTTCAACTCCTGGCACAAAAAAAAAAAAAAAGATAAAGACACACAGAATGGGTAATGTGATCGTGGAGGCAGAGATCTGAATGATGTGACCAGAAGTCAAGGAATGCTGGCAGCCACCAATAGCTGGAGAAGCAAGGAACAATTCTCTCCTGAGATTCAGGTGAAGCCCAGCTCTGGTGACACCTGATGCTTGGGCCAGTGACACTGATTTTAGATTTCTCACCCCCGGGTCTGTGGGAGAACACATTGCTATTGTTTTACATCACCTGCTTTGTGATCATTTGTTGCAGGACCATAGGAAACAAATACAAGAACTAATAACATCTCTTTAATAGTTCAGCCCGCTCAGAGCTGATGTGTTCCTTGCAGCTGAAAGTGGCCTGACTGATGCACAGCCCCTTGTCCGCTTGGGGTTAAGAGAATTCTGGGACAGGCCAGTCCCAGTCCTGGCAGCCACGGGTGTTCCTGGCCTGGGGGACATGGCAGGGAGGAGCTGGGGAGGAAGATTTGAGAGACGTGCAGGTCCCAGCACCCGGCAGCCCCGGGGGCGTCCCCCAGCCCCAGGCCCTGCCGTAGTGACCAAGGGTCAGCAGGCGCAGGCACAGGAGGGAGAAAGCTGCCCTGGCCAGGTCCCAGAGGACATCTGTCATGGCCCCCATGCCAGAAGAGCAAGCTGTCCCCAGCCCTCCAGGGTGGACACGGATGAGTGGTGAGGACAGGGGTACCCTCTGGGGGCCCAGCTCCTGCGCCTGGCCTGTGCCCTTCATGCCAGGGCCACAGATAGAGAGGCCAGCAGTGGCAGCTTGGGCATGAGACACGGTGGCCACCCAGGGCTGTCGGGGAGCCAGGCACAGAGCAGGCACCCCGAGGAACACAGCTGTCACGCGGGGGGCTCCCCGAGCTTGCTGGCTGCATTCGTGACGCGCTTGATCTCCCGGAGGTTGCGGAGGCGGGCACTGAGGCTGCTGATCTCCTCCACGTAGGCCTGGGGCACCCAGCCCTTCTCGCCGTCAGCCAGGCGGACCCCCTCCAGCCAGCCTGGGGACACACAGCCAAGAGCAGCATCAGCGGCACCAGGGCGGGGAGGGAGTGCCCCAGGGCCCGGTGACCTCATGGCAGCCTCACCTGGCTCCAGGAAGTGCCCTGCCTTTGGAGATGAACTTTTGACCTGTTCTTCCTGGCGTCTCTGAGGAGGGTATTTCCCACTCTCTCTCCCCCGCCACTCTCTATCCTACTGCTTTCTGTGCCGGAAGTCCCTCCTCTTGTCTAACCTGATTCCTGCACACTGTAGCTGGTCTACACTCGCACAACCTTTCCCTGGGATGTCTTTGCCACAGGGCTGCCCCCTGCCCTCCCAGTCCAACCAGAGAGGACCCTCAGGAGACCCCACTCACCGTCACTGGTCCAAGTCTTCACTGCTAGGATGTCCGTCTTCTCCAGGGTCAGCTCGTCGGGCTGCAGGGCTTTGTACGTCCTGACACACTGAACCTGGGGGCAGTCTGCCGCCGCAGGGAGGGTCAGGGGTCCCCTGTCCCTCTGCCCGCTGGCCCCGCCCACCCTAGGCACAGCCCACACCCTGCCGGCTCAGGTTCCTGCTCTGGCCAAGGGCTCTCTCCTCCCAGCTCAGAGCAACAACTTGCTCTTGACCTCTGGCCCCGCATCCGACTGCCTCCCCGCCCCACATGGACAGTCACCCCCAACACCGACACCGTTCCGGGGCTCCCTCCTGTGCGTCCTCAACTCAGATTCCAGCCACATGACTGCTGGTTTAAAACCTTCCCACTCCAAAGTCCTCCCCAGGCCTGCAAGGCCCTGCATGGTTTGGCGCTGTCCCCTTGCCAGCCCCCTCCTCTCCCCGCCTCCAGCCACGCTGCCCTCCTGACACCAAACCAAACCAGCGCCCTCCCTGCCTCAGGGCCTTTGCACTGGTGACTGTGGCTGCCTATCCTCATCCTTTAGGATCAAAGGTTATTTCCCAGGGGACTTTGCTGCTACCTATCCAGAGCAGGGGGTTTACTCCCAGATAGGGTGAGGCTCCTAGGTCAAGCCAGAGAATCTGCCCCCACTCCATGCCCTCAGCTTTTTCCACAAGGTTTGGGGGATACAGGAATAGCAGGGGTGGCAGGACACTACCTTCCCCCTCGCTGATGACCTCCTTGTCCTCCTGGGCGCTGGAGGGGCACAGGGCTGAGATCCATCGCTGCTTCTCACTTCTGGGGAGAGGGAACCGCACTGTCACAACATGCAAAGCACAGCTGTCCAGAATGGGGCTGAGACCAGGACTGGGGGAATAGGCCCAGGCCCCTGGCAGGCCTGCTCCACCCCTGCAGGTCCAAGCCTATGCCCCACCCAGCTCTGAGGGCAAGAGCAGGCCCAGGACCTCCTGGATGCCAGCAATGCCCACATCCTGCCTTCTGCCACTACCCTGAAACCAGAGGTGAAGAGGGCCAGGACTGGCACCCAGGAGGGGCTCAGGGGCAGGGAGGCCCCTTGGCACCTCTTGCCAGGACACATACACCACTCTACCCACTGGCCTTGTTCTCTGCCCAGGCCAGGGGATCACTGGGCACGTGGGGGTCGCAGGTGCCGCCCAGAGGTCCTGCCTCCCCACCCAGCCCCACTCACTCCGTGCGGGCCCTCAGCAGGAGCTGGTGCTTGGCGTGCTGCCGGGGGAGCAGCTGCAGGAGGAACACGTGGCCGGGGACGCCCTGCAGCTTCAGGCTCAGGTCCCGCACCTGCAGCTCCACCATCTTGGCGTGGATGAAGACGGCGAACTTCCCCAGCCTGAGGATGGGGAGGCCAGGTCAGCCGGCCCGGGCCGGGGTCTCCCCCTCCAGCAGCCTCCCCAGGGGAGCATGGCTGCCACATCCCAAGCAGCCAGCATCGTCCCCACGAGGGAGTAGAGCCCCTTCCTGCTCATCCTGACGGAAGCAAAGGTGACTTTGGATCTCCTCCTCCTCGCTGTCCCCAGAGTCCACTCACCCAGGGGCTCCTGCCACCTCCACAGCACTTACGCCCACGCAGGCGAGCGTGCCTGGTCTCTCCCTCTCTAGCCCATCCCCCAAGCTGGCCAGAAGCAACATGTCACTCCCCTGTCACTGTCCCTACTCCTTGATATCCTCACAACAGGTCTAATCTCTTTACTATGACTTTCTTTCTTTTTTTTTTTTTTGCCGCACCAGGGATTGAACTCATGACCTTGTGCTTGTCAAGCAGGTGCTTATGCCACTGAGCTATATCCCTAGCCCCTACTATGACTTTCAGCGTCCCCATTTCCCTGTCCCGCCCGTCTCCACAAGTCTCGCCACGCTGGGTTCCACCTTTCCCCAAACACACTCTACCACGACGTCCCTGTATCCCCTCTTCCAAGCCACCTTTCTGCCTGGAAAACTCTTACTGATCCTTCACAACCCCGCTCAAATGTCCCTTGCTCTGTGACTCTTTACTGATTCCCACAGAGGGGCTACCTCAGTGTACCTTCCATCGAAACCCCAATGGTATGGTCACGAGGGCACAGGTTCACTGTTCTAAGTTTCTACCACTGGAGAGTGAGTCGCGTTCAGATTTATGTCCACTGTACCTAGCAGAGGACCTGGTCCAGGACAGGGGTTCACTGACAGTTCATTGAGAAAACAAATCAGGAACAAACTCTCCTTGCGGCTTATGCCGCCACCCTCTGCCCCACCCCGGAACTCTTCTCCCTGGGCACAGTCAGCGCCGATGGAGTGAGGGCTCCCAGGCCCCAGGCCCCCTGCTGAGCTATCATGCTGCGTCTCCCTGCGTGGCACCGCTTTTGCAAGAGCCAGGAGCCTAGCACCAGACAGAGCCTGCCACTTCCTGGCTTCTTCCCTCCTGGGCTCCCTGGCCTTGGAGCAGCAAGGAAATCTTCCCAGTGAGGCCCCGGAGGGATGCAGGGAACAGTCCGTGCAGCTGGCCTGGGACAGACCGACACCCAGCCATGCAGAGCTGGACCTCAGGGCTGTGCACCCGCCTCTGCTCTCGCTGGCCCGAGCTCAGAGCACAGCAGTCCCTGACTCCCACTTCAGGGTGCCCTGGCAGCGCAGCCCTGCAGGCCCCATGGGTGGTGAGCCCAGCTGTAGAGAAGAAGCCCGATTCCTTCCTACCCCCGCCCAACTCACTCCTTCCGCCGAGACAGCAGCAGGCAGTCGTTGAAGAGGTGCAGGTAGACTGCCTTGCTGGACAGCTTCAGCTTGGCAGGTGGCGCTGCGGGCAGCGGCGCCAGCTCCACCAGCTCCCCGTGCCGGACCAGCCAGCGGGCCTGCGAGATCAGCGGGAAGATCTAGGGAGGAGGGGTAGGCAAGGGCAAGGACGGGTGAGGTCGGGGGCTCTTGGCAGAGAGCACAGGACCGGGGTCAGGAGGCTGTGGCAGTGAGGGGCTTCCCAGCGGGAGGAGAGCGCAGGGCGGCCTCTGGGCACAACCCGCCAGCTGCAGGCACACACCTTGCCCTCAAAGTGGATCTTCTTGCTCAGGTGGATGAGCTCCTCGGTCCTCTTCATGGACTGCACACTGGCATTGCACTCCTGCACCAGCTGAGGGTACCAGAGGCAGGTCACCGGCAGCCACCCCCCCACACCCGGGGGCCCTGCCAGAGCCTGGCCTCAGACCAGAGACTGGGAAGCCCTCGGGAGCCCGACAGCCCCCACCCAGCCGAGCTCACCTCCTTGAGAGCATTGAAGGCTTTGGTGGCCATGTCTTCATCCTGGGAGCCCTGTGCTGTCCGCTTCAGGATGTTCTGTGGGGTGAGAAGCAAGCCGTGAGGAGGGCTGGGCTCCCTGTGACCCCGCCCCTGGTCACGTGACTCCTGGCCCAGCGGCCCCGCTCCCCATACCTCCACCAGCATCTTGAGGCGCGTGATCCTCTGGAAGGGTAAGATGAGGAAGGAGGTGAGGGGTAGCCGCTGGCACACGGGAGACTCCTCTAGGCGGGCCAGGATGCCGGGGAACTTGGGGTTCTCCAGGCTGGAAAGGGGAGAAAGATCTGGAGTCCCAGGTGGGCCTGAACGCCTGAGATCCAGGACCTCGTCATCTCCACCTCACTGGCTCTTTAACTGCCACTCCCAGGCTCAGAGCCCCTTTCCGGGACCCTTCTCCACCCAGTCCTCCGTAGCAGCACCTGCCCAGCCTGCCCCCCTCTGCCCCAGGTCCCAGCCCTACAGCAGGCGCTGGTAGGTACGCTCCTGGTAGGCCTGGTTGGTGACGTAGGGCAGGTAGACGCGGCGGAAGGCCGGGCAGTGGTGCAACACCACGTCGCAGACGCTGAAGCGCAGCACATCTGCCTCCAGGCGTTGCTCCAGGTCCTGCAGGAACCTGGATGGGGTGGGGGTGTCAGACCTCTGAGTCAGGGTCTAGAATCCAGATCTGGGGGCCCATCCCACTACAGGCTCTGTCCCCGCCCCAGCCAGGCTAGACCACTGCCTCACCTCTCGCTGGTGCCCTTGACCTCGGGCAGTTTGGAAAATAGCCACTGCTTGTCCTGCGCCCCTAGACACTCGCTCAGCTCAGGGGAGCCCAAGAAGTGGCCCACAGCCACCGACAGGCTGTGAATGTAGGAGGCCTCGGAGGTGATCAGCTCAAACTTTGCCTGAAGGAGAGCAGACGCTGGGTTCTAAGGGCCAGGCTGGCCCACCAGGACCTTGGCCTTGACTCTCCCAGCCTAAGGCACCTGTCCCTGCCCTTTCTCCCACCTCACCCCTAATCCTGAACCCTACTCCCCAAGCCCCAACTCCCTGCCAAGGGCACTTGTACAAACTCCCCAGGGAGCGCTTGACCTGGCCCCTTCCCCTAACCCCGCCCACTACACCCGCCCTACTCTCCCGAGGGCCTCCTGGCCCCCGGCGCGCTTGTCCATCAGTCCCTAGCCCCGCCCCCGCCCCATCCGGCGCGCACCACACAGCCCCGCTCCCAATGGCTCCGCCCCCGCCCCATCCCAGGCCCCGCCCCCTGACCCGCCACCTCTTAGCTCGCCTTGGCCCCAGGCTGGCGTCCTTTCCCGCCAGGCCACCCTCCGCGGTGACACCCCGCCACCCCGCCTTTGTGTGGCTCGGTCCCCGCTAAATCGGAACCGCCGGCTCGCAGCCCACCTCCTGTAGCTTGCAGTCCCGCAGGCTCAGCGTGGCCAGGACGCCGCTGCCCCGCACGTCGGGGATGTCCTGCCACAGCGAGAAGGTGGAGCCGCGCGTTGCGCGCTGCGCCCGGAAGGAGCTGCTCGGGGAGAGGTTGGCGCGCGGCGGCCCGGGCCCCTCCTCCGCGCCCTCCGCCTCGTCCCCGGGGGCCTCCTCCTCGCGCTGCTGCCGCCTCAGCTCGCGGGCGCTGGCCACGTCGCTGTACTCCTGGTAGAGGACGGCTGGGGCACGAGGGGCGTGAGGACAGGCCGCCGGGCGCCCAGATTCCCAGAGCCCGCCCCATGAAGCCTCACAGGGGTTCCGATGTCGAGACGTGGGGACTTCATTCGCTCATTCACTCATTCATTCACTCCGCACTGATTGAGCACCAACTACATGCAAGCCCCCACTAGATACTGAGAATTCTGTTCTCCCGCTCGCACAGATCCTCACCTCCCACCTCTCCCAAACCCAGTTTCCCCGGTTCCACACCCCCGCTCAGTACCCTATGACCCTTTCCCAGAGACCCTGTCCACCTACAGTTAAGGAGGAATCGCGATTGCCGGCGCTCGTTGTCGCCCTTGGGGTCCGGAGGCAGCTCTTCCCGCGCGTCCAGCCTAAAAAAGAGATTGTCAGAGGTCTTGTTTGTCTGCACCCTGCCCTGGACACCTACCGGACTGGAAGGTGATTACCTGGGCTCCAGCCAGTCGCTGTGGCCCTCACGCGGGTCAACAAGTGCTGGCAGGGCTACACTGTCCCCCCTCATCTCTGCGTTTCGAGACTCTCTTCCAGATGTTTTCCCTAGAGAAGGCAAGAGCTGAGGGTGGGCGGTCCAGGGAGTAGCCTGGGCGTAGAGCCCCACGCCCAGCTGGGCAGCACCCATCCCAGGTGTCCAATGAGCAGGCCAGGTTCCACCTGTATCTGGCTCATGGGCTGCTCCGGGGTCCCAGGGAGTTGCTAATACCTTCTTGCGCTGCTCCAGTGCCTGCTCCCGAGACTAGTGCCCTGGAGGCCGAACTCCGCCCCAGGCGCAGGGAAGAGTGTAGGCGGGTCATCAGCTCAGAGGCTGAGAAGCGCCGCCGCTCGGGCCCCTCCAGGCCCAGCGCTCTGGGTGTCCCAGAAAGTTCCGCTGGCCTGGGCTCCTCTGTGTGCAGGGCTGGCTCCTGGGCCACCCGGCCAGGCTCCAGGAAGACAGCATAGGGTTCTGGGCCGCCAGTGGCTTCTTCACGCTGGTACACCCGCATCTTGCGCCCTGGCAGTGGGGGAGGGGCGCGGGCTGGGACTACAGGGTCTCTCGACCTCCCTGCTGCTGCCCACGTTTCTGAGCATCCCCAGGGCGTGCAGGCCTCATGCTCAGGGATAGGCTGAGGTTTCTGCCAGGATCCAGGCACCAGGGCAATGGAATCAATAAACGGGATGGACACAGCACAGGACTTGGGGTACCCACAGGGGCCCGGATGTCCAGCACAGCTTGACCTCCTGTGTAACACTGGACACGTCACCCTCCCTCAGCACTAGTTCTCTTATCTCTAAAACCTACCACTTGTCCTTACTTTCAGGGAAATCTGGGACTCAAAGGGTTCAGAAAGAGCCACCCAGCCCTTCCCCTAGCTACCCTCAACCAGGGTGACTCACAGGCTGACTTCTTCTCTGAGCCGTGGCTGGCCCGGCGCTGTGGCTGCATGTGCTGAGAACGCCAGGGTCCCTCCAGAGCTGGGGGCTGGGCTCCAGGACAGTGGGGCCAGCTGCCAGCCCTGCTGGGCCGCATCCTTGCGCTGGTGGAAATCTCCGTATCTGGGCCTGCTGGGGATGGGGGCCATAGCAGCCCTTGGAGAGGGGTAGGGGTCCCCAGGGACCAGCGACTCCCAGGAGCCCGTAGCTCCTCTGGGGCAACAGGGAAAAGGTCCACACACATAGGACTCAGAGGCTGTATGGTGGGCAGCTCCACAAAGGACAGGCTCTCCTGCTGGCACACAGCTACTGGGCGGCAGGCAGCGCCAGGTGGCCCAGCCAGGTGGGGCTGAAGGGTCGCAGGTGGCCCACAGTCCATTCCTCCTTTGCTCTGCCACCCACCTGGGCCTGCAGGGGAGACGTTATCAGACCAGACTCAGGACAGCAGTGCTGGCCAGTAAGCCACCACATCTGGCAGGCCTGGACAAAGCCTGGTGTATGCGTGCGTACACACACCTGGGTGAGGACTGGTAATAGTACTACTTACTGGCACTGCCTAAATGACAGCCAGTGTTTTCACATATCCCCTCATTCAATCCTCACAGCGACCCTATTTGTTGATGCTACTGTTATACCCATTTTACAGGTGAGGAAAGCGAGGGAGAAGAAGGTAGCTATTTGGTGAACAGGAGCCAGGCTTGTCACACGAATCTACGTTCCAACACACATCTCTGTCTCCACACATTTTTCTCCCAAGTACACACATTGACGCACTTTTAAGTCAGGCTCGCGTGTTTATAGACGCACACTTTTTAGCACTTATGCTTTTTAAACACACATTCACACAGACACTTCCTCCTGAACACAGCCTCTGACCCATCTGACCCTGGCGCACGCACCCAGGCTTTCTCCCAGTGCCCACTGACACGCAGACGTGCACACAGAGGCCCACACATCCCCTGCTTTGTTGTTGCCCAACCTCCCCGCCCCCCGCCATACCCAGAGCTGCGGCCTTTAGCGCTGAGTGATGCCCACACCCATGCCAAGCTGGCTGGGAGGGTCACAGACCGGCAGGCGGGCCACCACCCAAATCAGGCTGGGCTGCCCACAGAAGAGCTGGGAGGTGGCCCAGCCCCTCCACCCCCTCCCCGCTTGGGGTGAGAGAGGGGTTTTCCCCCATCTACCTCCGAGCCCTGGATCCAGGCTTCCGGGCAGGACCTCACCCCAGGGAGCTGCCAGAGCCTCAGGACAGGGTAATGATCCTAGGGGTCCAACCCCCCACAGCCTCTGCCCCACGGCAGCCCCTGCCCCTCACCTCTCCTGCCACCAAGGCGCTGCCGATGCTGTCGGGCCGCTGCACGGGGGAAGCCCTCTCTCTGCCCAGCTGGCTGGGGGACATCCCACCCAGACAAAGAGTTTGATTCATCAAGCCCTGTGGTGAGCGAGCGGGGGGAGGAGGGAGCCGGCAGCGGGCTGGGCGGGGGCCTAGCCAAGGCTGGCCTCGCTGTGGGCAGGCCGGGCAGCAAGGATCCCCCCCAGGGCCGCCTTGGATCTCAGGGCACTGCCCACCCTGGCAGGGCCGGGAGATCCAGGAGACAGAGGCCGAAGGAGACCCAGAGACCCACTGAGAGACCGTTTAGACATCAACTCAGAAATTGAGACCCTGAAACAGTTACAAGCAGCAAAACCACATATGCTGAGACAAGCAGGGACCCAGAGATGGCGACAGAGAGACAGGGACAGAGGTTTCACAGCCCAATACTCAGAGACAGATGTGAAGCCCAGGAAAAACCCTAGACCGGTGGACAAACAATTCAAGCCCCAGGGGTTGCCAGCCTGGTGGAGGAGCCAAGAACAAAAGCAGTTACAATCCAAACTGGCAAGAGCCACCCAACAGGCACCGTCAGAGTAGGGTGTGGGGCCCCCTCAGCCCAGGTACTCCAGTCCAGGAAGGCTTCCTGGAGTAGGCAGTGGCTGACTGCTTTGTGGCTAAAATTTCCAGGGACCCAGTGCACAAAGATAGAGAGTGACTCCCGGACTGAAAGAGTGACAGGTCCCCGAGGGAGACAGCAAGGTCTCTGCTGCTCCTGGACTGCTGTTCTCCTCCCTGCCTGGGAGGTGGGAGGAGGTGCCGACTCTTCCCCAGGGGCTTTCCTATGGTGAAGGCTCCAGCTTGGACCTTTGACCTCTGTGCCTCCATGAACCTTGGTTTCCTCCCCTGGTAAATAGGAGTGTCGTGCCAACTTTGTAATGCGAAGGTAAGAATGAATGATAGCTCGTGTAGAGCATTTTAGGTGCAAGCCTGTAATCCCAGCCACTCGGGAGGCTGAGGCAGGAGGATCACAAGTTCAAGGCAAACTGCAGAGTGGAAGTCTTGTCCTTGAGAGTCATTCCTTGGAGTATTTCTCTAGTTGGGAGATGGCGTGGGCCCTCAGCCAGAGGGAGAAGAGGAAGACACATTTTAGGAGCATTTGGAAGGGTCACAGGTGGGCTCTGCCCTCCAGACAGGTCTCCTTCTCCCCAGGAGTCAGACCCTCAAGACACAAGCCCCACTTTAGAGCGCAGCGTGCAAGCGTGAACGTGCGCCCCTGCTCCCTTGTGTTCTGTGAGAGTCTCTCCCCTTGGGTTCCAGAAGCCCCTGGAGGGGGACACACCTATCTTTACAGGGATAAATAAGCAAAATGTTAAGCCCTTGGGGCAGAGGCCTCCAGGGAGAGGGAAGGGGGAGGGCACTCTGGGGAGACAAGGCTGAAGGGAGGTCCCCAGGGGGAGGTCAGGTGTGAGTCAGCCTCCACCCAGGCCTGGCCTGGGGCGATGGGAATGACCCATCCAGCTGGGATGCCAGCCTGTGGCTTTCCAGGGAGGTGGCCCATCCGACCTCCATGCTGGGTATGAAGCAGGCACAGAGCTGGCTCCTACTGTGTGTAGCTCACTTTTATTAGGGGGAAAAAAGAAGGAGAAAGAGAAGAAGGAGAACCCCAAGAAAAGAACTGGCAGCAGAGACATTCCCTGCCTGGGACACGATCACAGGACAGAGATTGCAGGGCCCATTAGCCAAGGGTCATTCTGGAACCCAAAGGGAAAACGCTCTCCAAGGCTGAAGGCCCCGTGTTGACACTAACCGGCTCTGTGAGGCCTTCAGCAAATCCCAGCCCATCTCCGGGCCTCAGTATCCCCACCTGTAAAGTGACCGTGAAGGCCCTGCTTTCGGAACCCTGAATCATCGGAAATGTTTCTGCAGGTGGAGGAGGATGGGCAGGAGGAGGAGGTCAAGGGGAGTCCTGTCCATTGGGCGCTGCTCACCACAGCAGGTACTGGCCCACTTGGCAAGGCTGGTAGAGCGCGTCCTGGACACCACTGTGTTCAGCAAAAGCACTTTAGGCCCCTGCGCCCAGCTCTTTTCCCTGCCTGTGCGCTTGCCCTGCCACCCAGAGGTAAAGGGCCCCTCTGTCTCCTAAAGGACAAAACCAAGTGGAAGGCTGCGGCTGGAAAGGAGATCCATGCCAAATGGTCTGCAGAGGCCCGGGAGGCCATAAGTCGATGGGGCCAGGATCAGAGCCAAGTAGGCAGCACAAAGGACTCCCTCGGAAGCCTGTCGGGAGGAGGATGGGGCTGTTGGCACCCGGCGGGGCCCTACCTCAGCCAGGGAGCTCCGTCCAGCTGCAGGCACAGTCCAGGGCTCCAGGCCACCCTGGGGGCTCTGGGGCTGCAGCCAAGTCTTCAGGGGGCGATGTCAGCATGGCCCCTGAGACAGCAACGCAAGCTCCAGGGTATTGTGTGGGGCAGGGAGGGGGAGGCGAAGGCGGAGGGAACCTCAAGGAGAGGCAGGCGGCTGTCTCAACGTGCCTGCTCCCCGCCCCCCTTCCCAGAACCGGTTTGGCCAGTCTGGGGTACGAGAGGGGGGCTGGAACAATGGGAGTCCTATGCCTGGGAGAAGCTCTGAGGGACCCCAGACAGATCCCCTAAAGATGGGAGAGGCACCACCGCTGGTCCTAGGAGACAGGTCACCCCTCTTCCAGGGCTTCTGTCCATCGTGCTCAGGGGACTTATTGGGGGCAGGAAGCATCTGGAGAGTTCACAGAAAACATCCCAAGCCTTGGAGTTATCAGGGACCCTGCACCAAAGCTGAGCCTCTTGAAGCATCTGTAAAATGGGAACACTCATTGTGCTGGCTATTTTGAAATGGAAATCAATCCTGAAAATTGGAGGTGTGGCATTTGGCACCATCCTAGACAACCCTTCTAGCATGGCTACATCTCATAGATCATCCATCCTTTCCCTCTGCCTGGGATGACCCACTTCACCACCTCCGAAAGCCTACTCCAAAGCTGGGTGTGGTGGTGCACTACTATAATCCCAGCACTTGGGAGGCTGAGGCAGGAGGATCTTTGCAAGTTCAAGGTGAGCTACAAAGTGAGCTCAAGGCAGCCTGAACTGCATATCAAGACCCTGTCTCAAAAAGACAAAAGCCTCCTCCACCATGAAGCATTTCCAGACTTCCACACTGTCTGAGTCCTCAGTAACAGAATTCAAATAGCCAAAGTCCACCCTGCCTTTGCCAGGTGCGCAATTTTCCCATTCCAAGCCTATGGAAGGGGAAGCCATTTTCCTGTCAATATCACCTGGCATTTGTTTGATTTTTGGGTTTTTTTGGTACCAAGAATTGAACCCAGGGCCTGGTGCTCACCTGCCGTTCCTTTGAGCACTCTGTAAATACCAAGCACTTAACACCAAGCCTAGTCTAAAAGCAAACACTTATGCTTGCACTGCAGTAACTCTTCTTGTGCACTTGCCGTATACCCGCACGGCTCTGAGTGCTGCACATGCATTCATTCACCTAATCTCCACTGAGGCCCTAGGAGACACACGCTGTGACTGAAGCCACTTAGCAGCTGAGCGCGAGGCTTGCACAGGTAAATCACTGCATTATCCCACTGGGATTTCTCATTTTAAGGCCAATGAGGGTTTGAGGTACGAGGGATTAAATAAATCACCTAAGAACTAATATTGAAACCCAGGTCTGTCTGACTTACCAACAACCTATGTCCTTAAGCAGGGCCAGGCCATTGCCTCCCCAGGCTTGTGGGCGGGTCCGGGGAGCAGTGTGGAAGTCGGATGATGGATAACTCAATAGAGGAGCTAAACCCTTTTATTATGGTTTGTACCCCACAGGCCCCCATGAGCATACAAGCAAGGGGCTTTGTGGGCCCAACCCCTATGAACCTGATGGCCACTGGTTTGGGTGACTGGGGTTCCTCTGCTTCCCTGAATCCACTCTGCACTCCCACCGCCCAGCAGCACCACAGTAAGGAGACACCGCCCAGGGTGGGCGGGGACCAGGTGGTACACAGAGATAGGCTGATTGTTAGCAGCACAAGGACAGCAGGAGGCAGGGAACAAGGAGAACTCTAACGGGTTCATCCTGGCCTAAGGCACTGCCCAGCCAGAGAACCCCAAGCAAGGGAGTGTCCTAGGGGACTTAGGGTCCTCACTCGCTGACTCTGTGTCCTGAGCTTGGGGAACAGCACCCTTGCTTCTGCAGACAGAGGAATGCTTGGTCAGGCAGGAGGGTGGCCCCCAAGCACAAAGCCTCCTCCTACCCACTGCTTGAACTCCAAGTAAGAAGGGGCGGGGCTGGGCAGGGCAGATGAAGGCCGGTGGAAACTATAGCGAATCTAACCAATCCCACTGGGCGAAGCCAAAGAGGGCCGGCTAAGCGGCGCAGTCAGTGGGGTGCGGCTGGGGCCAAGCTTCGCCGGCTCCGCTGGCCCAAAGCAGCGCCCCTCTACTTGTCTACTAGCGCCCGCTTGGCCAGGCAGCGCCCAGGCTTTGTCGTGGTAGCCAGGCCCCTGCACATGGAGCGTGAACCAGGCAATGAGGCATAGGAAGAAAAAAACAAAACAAGAAGTGAGGAGAAGGGGGAGACAGAATGCTTACTTTAGCATCCCTCCCCCCAGTTACTGGGGATTGAACCTAAAGCCTTTGCACTGAGCTATATTCTCAACTTCCCCCCCTCTCGAACTTGCAGTCTTCCTGCCTCAGCCTCCCAGAGTGCTGGGATTACAGGCCTGCACTACACTCCTCGCTAGCAGTCTCGATTTATGGAGCACTTACCATGTGCAAGGCACGTTGCGAACTCCGAGATTTACAATTCAGTTAATTCTCACAGCAACCCTGTAATGTATATTCCCATTTTACAGATGAATACACCAAAGCATAACGGGTTGTCACTTGTCCCCAAACACAGAAATATGATATGAACCCTTTAGCACCGTTAGAGCCCAAGCTGCGAAGAGGGTTTTACGCAAAGCTGGAGGGAATAGCTTCCTTTCTTCCCTTCGGGTCTTTTGCCAAGAGATAATAATATTCTTATTAGTGATAATGACACACTGAGCGCCTACACTATGCAAGTGTTTGACACCGACTCTTGGTAACGACCCTATAAAGAAGATCCTATTATACAATTCATCCATTCGCAGCAGGTCGTCGACCGAGTCTGAACTCGAACTGGTTCTGTCCGAGACAGAGGCGGAGCCCTACCTCTAAGGCGGGGACGACGCCCAGACGCTCAGCCAGCAGTTTGCAGTGGAGGAGGGGGAGGCTGCCCGCGCGTCGCGAACGGCTTCGCACCCTGCAAGAGCTGTTCGGGGTGGGGGGCTCGGAGGTCGACTCTGAGCCCTGAATTCCCGTCCCCTTCCCCCTCTTGGAACCCGGCTCTGCCTCTTTAACTCGAGCTACAGTGAACTCTGAACAGCTGTCCGCCCGGCCGACTCAGCTTCCTGCGGTCCCAGCTAGGTCCCCTCCTACAGAGCTCAGCTCCTCTCCAGCTCCTCCTAGAAAAGCCACGCCTCCTGACAGGCCCCGCCCCCAAGGCCCCGCCCCGCCCCTGGCGCGCCGCTCTGCGCCTGGCGGACTGCGGGATTCCATCTCCCACCTGCGGGTATGTGGTTGCCCGGGGCCAGGGACGGCGCCGGCGAGAAGCTGACGGAGCCGCGCAGCTGCCTCTGGTATTCGGACTGGTAGTGACCCGACCGAAAGTCCGAGGTGAAGGCGAGGTGGAAAGCCTCAACTCACCCGCTGTTGCGTTCCACTCTCGCGGTACAGTGAGCCTGCGGCCGGGGTTGCTAGCCCTCTGATTTCCCAAATCTCTGAACCTGACTCCCCACCCCAGTCCCCTTTTCCCTCTCCCTGAGCCCCTGCACCAGACTCTGACCTTGCCCACTGCGTTCAGGCTCGGGGGGATGGAAAGGTGCCCTCAGTCCCGGGCGTGCAGTCAGATGTCCAGCCGGCGGCTGGGCCAAGCGAACAGGGGCGCCGGCGGGAAGGCGGCCACAATGATGTAGAACCCAAATTACAGCTCCAGGAGGCCGAGGGAGGCCAAGGGCGGCAGGCCTGAGGCCACCTCCAGCCGTGCCGAGAGGGCTGGGCCGTGGCTCACCCGTCAGCAGGTATTCATCGAACAGGCTTTAGCACCGGATGAGCTCATAGTCCTCCTCCTATTCCGGGCTCCAGCCCCATCTGGATGTGCGGCAGCCCTGCCCGCTGCCCAGACGGTGGCCAGCCTTCAGCCTCCTGCAGCAGGGCCGGGGAGACTAGGTAATGGTTGAAACAACAGCCTGTGCCAGAAGTTGCCGTTTCTAGTTCCCCAGTATCCCTTAGAAAGAGACACCTCAAGCGGGGCGTGGTGGTGCATGCCTGTAATCCCAGCACTCTGAGAACCTGAGGCAGGAGGACTGCAAGTCTGAGCCCAGGCTAGGCAATTTAGTGCCTTAGTGAGACCCTGTCTCAAAATTTTAAAATGGAATGGGGATGTGGCTCCATGCAAAGGCCCTGGGTTCAATCCCAGGTACTGCCAAAAAAAAGAAAGAAAGAAAAGGAAACATCGTGATCATTTCCACTTTACAGATGAGCAAAGAGAGCCCAAGGCTCCCCAGATTGTGAGTGGGATGGGATAGAGCAGTCAACATCACACACGAGGTCTCTGCTCTCAGGAGGCTCACATTCTAGCAGCAAAAAACAGGCAATAAACAAAACAGTGAAAAAGGCTGTGATGAAATTAAACACTGACAGGGAGCCTCTTGGGATTAGGTGGTCAAGGAGACCTCCTTATGAAGGTGATATTGGAGTTGAGGCCCAAGTGACCAGGAGTCGGCCATGTGAAGTCTGGAGGAAGAGGATTCTGGCAGAGGACAGCCAGTGCCAAGGCCCTGGGGTGGAGACAGCCCTGCCTTATTTGTGGAGCCAGGGGGAAGAACCAACCAAAGGCCCCTCTGGTAGTTTCCCAAGTGCATCCTGACTGAGAACCCACAGGAAGGCTCTGAGCAGCATAACATGGGACATAATTTCTCTTTGGGAAAGATGACTCTGTCTGAGCATGGGGGCACATGCTGTAATCCCAGCACTCGGGAGGCTGGGGCAGGAGGATCACCACAAGTTCAAGGCCGGCCTGGACTACACAGCAAATTCAAGGCAACCTGAACTACACTGAGACCCTGTCTCTCTGCATCAGAGACTGGACTAAGTGGACAAGCACACAAGAGCAGGAAAGCTGTTGGGAGGCTGCTGCTGGCATCCAGGTGAGAGAGAATGGCGGCTGAGAACAGATGGAGAGTGGGTGGGGGTGACGGCAGGGGTGGAGAAAACTGAATGGATCCAGGATCACTGATCAGACATATGGGTGGACAGGCGGTGTCTGGATGAGTGGCTAAGGCGAATGTTTCTTCTCGGCCGGGCGTGGTGGCGCACGCCTGTAATCCCAGCACTTGGGAAGCTGAGGCAGGAGGATCACTGTGAGTTCAAGACCAGCCTGGGCTACAAAGTGAACTCAAAGCCAGCCTGAACTGCATAATGAGATCCTGTCTCAAAAAGACAAAAAAAAAAAAAAAAAAAAAAAAAAAAAAAAAAAAGAATGTTTCTTCTCTTCTTCCCTGTCTGGGCAGGGTCTCTTGAGGGCAGAGCTGAGACCCTGCATGCTCCCAGTGTTTTGCCCACCCAGCTTATCTCATCCGATATCATGGGAGGGTGGGAAGGGGAGCCAAGGAGTGCTGCAAGAAGCCAGATTTGGACCCTGGGATGGTCAGGGTTCCAAAGCCTGAGTTCTCCCAGCATGCTTTATGGCCTCTGGGAACTCTGGGAAGTGGAGTTCTGGGCTGGAGGACCTGGGCATCACCTCCAGCAGGCAAGTCGCTGCAGTTCCAGCAGTGGGCCAAGGTGGCGCTTTTACTGCTCCAGAGCTCCAGGGAGGGGGCGGGCACGAAGGTGTGAAGATGCTGAAGAGCCTGGTCTCTGGGTGGTCCCTCCCAGCGAGAGAGGGCACAGGGCAG